TTGGGCAACCAAGAAGGATCACGTAAGGAGGATAGAGGCCGCAGAAATGAGAATGCTTCGATGGACATGTGGTAGGACTCTGTGGGATATGACGACAAACTCTGCTATTAGGATGTCCTTGGGGGGTGGTGTCTGTTTCCGAAAAAATTGAGGGAGGGAAGACTACGGTGGTTTGGGCTGTCCTTAGGCGACTACCGTCGGATGCGGTTAGGAGGGTAGAGTCGATACAGTCGACGATGCCAGAAGGAAAGGACGACCAAGGCGGAAGGGGGAGACTGCTTGAGATCTGATTTGATGGATTTAGGCCTTACCGAAGACATGACTATGATAGGAAATTATGAGGCTTGTGACTAGGGTAGTCGAAGTAGTGTGGGTCACATCTATAGGGTGTATCATCTCTTTCTTTTAATGCATTTGTAGTAATTTCCATGACTTTTACTTCTTATACTTTTCTGTTATTGGTATTTATGAAAGTTAGAACTGGGCTTGCTATCGTTGACTTCTGTGTATCATTCTCGTCATGTTTTCTGTTAAATTTTAGGGGTCTTATGTTTCTGTCTATATGCAGAGATTCTTTCGCAGGGATTATTTTGCAGGGATTACTCCCCGTTACAGAGAAGCACATATTAATGACTGCATGAATACTGTTTAGCTATGTATTTAGTAATTATTATACATGCATGCATTTATCTATATTTTTAATTTTCTGACTGCGGAGGTCTACCACGGAAGCTATTCTCAACCTGGCGTTGGGGCAGCCTACTACCCTACCTCCCCTTACCCCATACATATGGGAATTGGGTTGTTGTTGTGTTGTTGTTGTAATCTTCCTAGAAATAATCCTATAAAATAGTTGGAGAAATTTGTGTTCTGATGAGAGTTGATTAGGGATTTGATTGTAAAGATGTTAAAAGGTGATGAAAGTTGATTTCATGCTTGAATCGAATCAAAATCGAGCAAAATCATGAAAACATAATATAAAGGAAAATAATTCGGTATGATGTATGAGTGAGAAAAATTATGGAAAATTATATAGGTGGAAATTATGTAGGAAGTATTCTAAAGGCCTTAGAAAAATTTGGGGATCATTCTATAATTTTTGAAAAGTTAGGGGACCAATTCAGTAATTTTGGAAAAGTTGGGAATGGTTGTATAATTGTCTAATAGTTGATTTACTATGCTGGAAATTTCTGTTTTGGGATTGAAATGAGTGTTTAGATGTGAAATATGATTATTTTGGAAGTTTGAAAAGATTAGTTATTTAAGTACAACATTCGCATAATTCGGAGGTCTCTTACGGAAGCTGCTCTCAACCTGGTGTTGGGGGTAGCCTACTATCTTACCTCCCCCTTACCCCATACATATGGGAAAAAGGGACAGCCATTTTTATTCGCATAATTGGGGTACTTAAATGTAATTATGTCTTTGTCAAAGCAGTTGAATGATAATAAATTCAATGCTGGAATTTTTTATAGTAAGAATCTAAGTGATAAAATGGTGAAGGGCCATTTTGTGTAAATTGGAAAATTTGGTACCAATGTTAAAAGGAGTTATTAAGTGTTAAATATTTGGTAGAAAATGAGTTTCAAGTATATTATAGAATTGTTATGGGATGTGTTTATGTCAGTACAATACTAACATATGTATCATTATGAATTTGTGATTTATACAGATCGTGATTGATTTGTGATTAAAGCAAGTCAAGTATAAAAAGGGTTTATTGTGGAACATAGAGAGGCACATATTTTGGATTATATAAAGTGTCAAGGTGAGTGCAATACATGCATGACATTGTACATAGATGTTTTATACATCATGTACATAGATGTTTTATACATCATCAGGAAGACTTGCGATAAGTCAACCTTATTTATATCAGCATGATGTTATGTCATTGTTATAACTTCGACATGACATTGATATGTCACAGTATGAAATTATAATGCATTGATAATGGATAATGTGATATTTTACCATGAATGTTTTCGAGTATGAATTGCCCAATGTTAAATTATTATAATATACTTTTCCATTGATGGATCAAATAAAATAGACTATATGCCCAAGTAAGTCATTGAGGGATAGGGTATAATTGGCATGCCATAGAGTATAACAGCTGCAGGTTTATATTACACTATAGTGTGTAAGGACACTAAGTGTATATGGTAGGCACGACCTTATGTGTAATACACTTCGGTGTATATGATGGGCACGACCTTATATGTAATACACTTCGGTGTATATGGTGGGCACGACCTTATGTGTAATATACTTTGGTGTATATGGTGAGCACGACCTTATGTGTAGCACTACGGTGCAAATATTACTCGAATACCCAGGGTCCTCAGGGTTTTATATTGGGATATTATCTATTGTATATGGTTTATGGTTTATTAGTTAATAAATAGTAACCATGCAAATAAGCTTACGAGCTTATGGAGTAATGGCAAGTATATTGGTAAAATAAGCTTACGAGCATAAGGGGTAAATGGTAAGTATATTGGTAAAATAAGCTTACGAGCTTATGTGGTAAATGATAAGTATATTAGTAAAATAAGCTTACGAGCTTATGGGATAAATGGTAAGTATATTGGAAAGAAATTTTATATTCAGTTATATTATTTTGATCATGGAAAAATATTGGATATACTGGTAACATGATTTTATGACATTTTGATTTTGACATTGAAATTCATTCATGAGTTGTATTGCACTGTTGATTGTCTTTAATTTCCTCACTAAGTACATACTTAGCGTGTGATTATTTTCACGCGTAGGTAATGTAACACCCATAACCCGTATAATTATACCTATACAGATTATAGATGTCACCCGGATTTCTAAAATTATTTTCCAATTTAAATGCGATTTAAAATTTATCTTCTTAAAATGGTAAATGATATTATAAAAATATCATATCATATAATTTATATTATGCTATAAACAAATTTAATTCAAAAGATTTTTTTATGAATAGTGAACAGTACCCGTGAACAGTGACAGTGAACAGTATATGTGAACAGTAGGGGAATCGGTTCCCTGTTAGGGGGAATCGGTATCCCAAAATCATTCTGGAAATTTTGCTTTAAAACGTTGTTTAACAAAACAAATAAAATATTTATAATTACATGCCACTAATAAAATTAACATTACAACTTAGGATGTCTTACTAATATTGAAATATACTTCTCGATCTTTGATAACGCTTTAAACTCTTTATTCTATTACTGGCTTTTTACCTACGCGTGAAAATCATTACACGCTAAGTATATACTTAGTGAGGCAATTAAAACAATAAACAGTGCAATACACTTCATGCATGATTTTCAATGTCAAATTCAAAATTCCATAAAATCATTTTATTTGCATATTCAATATTTTACCATTTATTAACCATAAGCTCGTAAGCTTATTTTACCAAAATACTTACCATTTATCCCATAAGCTCGTAAGCTTATCTTACCATTATACTTACCATTTGTTCCATTAATTTCATAAGCTTATTTTTACCAATATACTTGTCATTATTCCATAAGCTTGTAAGCTTATTTTTCCAGTTTATCATTTATTAACCAATAAACCATAAATCATAATCCATAGCCAATAGCTCAATATTAAACCTTGAGGACCCTGGGTATTCGAGTAATATACCTGCACCGTAGTACTAAACCTGCACTAAGCTTACGCCATAGTGCTAATCCGAACAATACACATAAGGTCGTGCCTACCACCTACACTAAGCTTATGCTATAGTGCTAATTCGGACTTAAACCTGCACTTAGTGTCCTTACACACTATAGTGCTAATATAAACCTCCAGCCACTATACTCTATGGCATGCCAACTATACCTTGTCCCTCAATGACTTACTTGGTCATATAGTCTATTTTATTTGATCCATCCATGGCAAAGTATATTATCATAATTTAACATTGGCCAGTTCACACCCGAAATAACATTCATAATAACAATCCTATATGTTCATGATAACATCATATACAACAATTAGTGATCAATGCATTTTATAATCAACCACTACAGTAAAATAGAGATTTAGTGGCGTTTTTTTAGTTCTATAACAGCGTTTTTAAATGCAGCTAAAAGCACTTGCGGCGATAGGAAAAACGCCACAAGAAGCACCGGCAATACCAGCGTCGCTAAAGCTTGCGACGTTTGAGAACAAAACGCCGCAAAAGGTCTATATTTATAGCAGCGTTTTTGGAACAAACGCCGCAAAAGGTCGATATCTATAATGGCGTATTTTGGAACAAACGCAGTAAAATGTCGAGATCTATAGCGGCGTTTATGGAACAAACACCGTAAAAGGTCAGATCTATAGCGGCGTTTTTGGAACAAACGTCGCAAAAAGTCAGATTTATAGCGGCATTTTTTGAACAAACGCCGCAAAATGTGAGATCTATAGTGGTATGTTTTTTAACAAACGCCGCAAAAGGTCATATTTATAGCGGCGTTTTTGGGACAAACGCCGCTAATTACCTTTCTTTAGCTAAGATTAATTGATTTTGCATATTTCATTTCTGCTCTACATCACCTAAATTGAATAGCATGTAGCTTTATCTAATTAACAACACAAGTTATGCAGAAATATACTTAACAATAAAATAAATTAAAATTTATAAACATTAAAATTAAATGTAATGTAATTTGACATTGTTCTCTATAATTTAGTCTAGGTGATACATACATCAAAAATTAATCCCCGAAAATTCCATCCACCACAAAATCTTGAAAACAAAAGTAGGAATGTAAAAATGAGTTCCATATCGTCTGGATTCATACTTGTGGCACTTCAGTCTTGGATCTCCTCATTTTACTATCTTCTCTACCGAACCTAATTGATGGACCAGAATTCAGTTGTGCCTGTCAAAACGAGCTTTTTATCTCAGGGTCATAAATAAAAAAAGAATCAATGATGCTGATATAAATGATCAACTGAAGTAGAGATAATTATCCAGTCTATTCAATCTTCACTTACTTAAGGAGCATTTTGCACAGGCTGCAAAGTGAAATAAAGGACCAACAAAGAAAAATAAGCAGTGAAAAATAATCACAATCAACAAACCAACTCAAGAAAGATATGAACATCGAGTTTAAACATAGCTTACTGCAGGTATTGTAAATGACAATTGAGATGACATTTTTCTACTAGGTGCACTCAACAAAGCTTGCTGTCTCAAAACCTTATCCTCGGTTTCCATGTCTGAAATCTTGTCTTCTAACCAGTTAAAAGATATAGACGATTATTTGCATGGAAGATAAGCAGTTCAAGTTGAAGAATGAACAATCCAATTGACTTAACATTCATACTAACTTAAACATCAAACATCTATTAGTACAGCACAAAATCAGGATAAAACCTTTGCATCGCAGTTTTTAAGTCAATTATCCTCATCTCAGCCTCTGTAGCCTGCTTTAGCCGCACTTCGCAAATCTGTTCTAGTGTAGCTACCTGAGCCTGAAATGGAAGTTTGGTAAAAAATTATTTCAAGACATAAATGAAAAATTACTAACTTTAAATGACATTTAACAAGCCTGCAGTCCAAGTAAGGTCCTTTATTCGGAAGTAACAAATATCTAACAATACCTTAAGCTGTTCATTTTCAGTAGTAAGTTTATTCATCGTTTCATTGTCAACTACCGTGACCCCTTGAGTGACAGGAACTTTTCCGGAAGTTTTGTTTGCGCCCCAATTTTCCTTCTCACGTTGCAACTTCTGCAACTGCCATGTAAGTTCTTCAACTTGCTTTTTCCAGCTGACAGTTGGCCTCTAGCAGGGATTCAGTTTTCTGGGCAGCCTGCCGACAATCATGGATAATCAATTGTAACAATTATGCACATACTTTCACCTCATGGATAAGCCTATGAGATCATCACATCAAACAGGTGAATACACTGGAAAACTGTACTGGAATCTCTTGATCATCCAGAATGGAAGTTAGTAGTTTTAGAGAAGAAAAGAGTTAACTGAACCAACAGATAAGAAGAGAGAACATTTTTTTGGAACCAAAATGTGGATTAACTAACTAACTAATTATTTAGGGATCTATAATCTACATCCTATTCCTGCTACTATGGTGATTGAACCATCGGTTATTAAAATTTTCCTATTGATTGGACATGGAGAATTAGGATTAAACTTTGAATGGTTATTTTCCTATCGATTACCAATTCAATTGACTGAATAAGGACTAAACCATGGATTTAATATCACATGGCAATAGAGTACATTAGTCAAAACAACCAGCTATTAAGAACTTGTTGAAGGAAATTGAGAACATGCGTATGCAAGACATCATGAGCTTAAACTAATTTAATAAAATGAAAAAAAAAAAGAGAAATCACCATTTTTAGTTTGCGTAATTCTCTACGCGCAAGTTTTGCTCTCCAAGCACATTGTGCGACGAGTGCAGCTCTCTTTAACCTTTTGTAATAACGGCTCACCAAGAATCGACGACCTTGACTCTGTCACGGACAGGAAATCACATGGTATCAGTATGCCGATATAGCAAAAATAACAACCAGACATCGTAAAAACACTTGTCATCAACATTATTTCTTTTGTTAAACCAACAAGCATCCACATTTAATGCAAAACAACTAAGATAAAACTTCATCGAAGAGATGAAAATTCCTAAAAAGGAGTAAAATCATAAATAAAAGGAAAACAACTAACTCTATTAATATTCATTAATTAAAAGAAATATATATACCAGCATATAATCCCTTTAGTCCTTGCTCTTTCCATATTGAACATCCAACTTGGAACATTCCAGTGTAATAACCATACATTTGTTCACCAGATTTCATTCGCAATTGGTCATTCATGATAGCAGAATTCCTAGAGTTTCCTGAGCCTTGAACCTGCATGCGTTGCTTAATCACTTCACATGGAACATATACAAAAGAACCAAGTGTATCACCTGAAAATCATAGAAATACAAGATAGAAATCAGAGATCATTTGTGCATTTCAAGCAATATCAGATCATACAGAGAATATGAAAAGTGGGGATTTACAAAGGTGAAGCTACTAATATTGATAATGCAAATCAAAGTTTTCAGCAGGATGCTCCACTAGGGTTCTCCTTTCCTCTAAATACATCTTTGGTTTCACCTGCTGCTCCAACTGCTACAGGTTTCCTCAACCAAAAGTTTGTCCGTCAAAGTTTCCTAATGTGGTTGTTGTTCATCAGCAGAAGAGATTCATATCCCGTTTGTCGGTTTCATATGGAATACCACTCCTCTTTCTGTAGCAGTTTGGATCACCATAAGATGAAAGTTTAGAAACTTGGAGGTTAGCCCCTGGCATGCCTTTCCACCCATTTTCGCCTTTGCCTCCATGTCCCCCTGATAATAAAAACATTCAACCCGCTTCTTCTGCTAATTTTATCGGCACGAGTTATCCCGTTGAAAGCATTCCAAGCACAGCTGGTGGAAACCACCCAGAGTCTGATATTTCAGGTACTAACATCCAACAGACATTCAAAAGAACAAGAGAATCCTCGTATGATTTGGGTAAGATGTACTTCAGACAACAAAAAAGAAAAGGACTGCCGTGGGATAAATCGGAAATCAACTGCTGCATAAATGTAGGACATGTAAACAATGAGCCCAGAAATTCATGTTATTTAGATGATATAAACCAGTAGAGTTGGAGTGAAGGTCGCAATGATATTTTTCTGTAATCATTGCGGACCCAAATAAACATTGCTTAATAGAAAAAAATTCTAAATTCTGAAAACTTAAATTTTATTTCATTTTAATTCTTTCATACATTTGATGTATTTCCCTCAATTCTTTGTTTCTTGTGTCTAAGTTCCAGTGGAAATGTGTAACCCTATTCGATTACCAACTTGTGAAGGTAATTAATTGTTGGGTCTAAGTTTCGAGCACAAGTCTCAGACCTCCTATGTTCTCACCAAACATTGGTTTAAACCACAAATCACCTTCAATAAAGAGTACTTCTCTATACTATATTACTGAATTCCAACCCAAAACCAATACGACTATGCATACAAAATTTACAATAGTTCGACAGCTTTTCCATTTTAAATGACAAATAAAACTTAAAATATATTAAAAAACAACTAAACAACAGCTAGAACAAAATTCACAAATGAACCCTAAAAGTCATAATAAAGCATATAAGGGAAGTGAAATTCAAATCTAAAAACCCTAAAGTGTACGAGAGAGTGAGAGAAATGAAAACGTTAGGGGAAAAAATAAAAAAACTAGGAGGAGAAGCCTGACCTGCAATAAAAAAGTACGAGAATAGCAGACATTGAAATAACGGAGCTTGAAATTGCTGAAGAATTCATTGATTGTTTCTTCGATTGATTTTTGCTCAGATGACGATTTCAACAAGTTCAATATGTTACAGTGTTCTTCGAAATTCAGCATCTTATTCCCCAATCTTTTTTTGCCTGAAATTTTCTAGCGATATTTAGGGTTTAGAGTAAAGAATCCTTTCCTAAGTGAGTTCCTATGGATAAGAATCCAATGAATTCAGATATGTTATTATTTATAATTTTTATATTTAATTAGCTATGAATAAGAACCCTTCAAATAAGAATCAAAGACTAATAAGACTCTATTGGTTTTATTTATTTAGCGGCGTTTATATAAATACACCACTAAAGAACAAGTATTTAGCAGCGTTTGTGGTTAAAACGCCACTAAAGTATTAGAATTTGGCAGCATTTTAAGCAGAAACGCCACTAAAGTACATTATTTAACGGCGTTTATAAAAGTTCCACTAAAGTACCAATATTTAGCGGCGTTTATGCTTAAAACGCCACTAAATTACAAGTCTTTGGCGGCATTTTTATATTAATGCCACTAAAGTACCAGTATTTAGCTACGTTTGTGCTTAAAATGCCACTAAAATATAATATTTAGCGGCGTTTATATAAAAAATGCCACTAACGTACGAGTTTTAGCGGCGTTTGTACAAAACGCCACTAAAGTATGAGTATTTACCGACGTTTGTTCAAAAAACGCCACTAAAAATGACGCTAAAAACCCATTTTGCTGTAGTGAACCTTTGACATATTTAGAATATATCAAATATATGATAAATGACATAAATATCATGTCAACATAAACAAGGTCGACTTATCGCAAGTCTTCCCGAGGATGTATAAAACATCCATGTATAATTTCATGCATGTATTGCACTCACCTTGACACTTTATATCTTTCAAAATATATGTGTCTCACTATTGTCCACAATAAACCCTTTTATATTTGATTTGTTTCGATCGTAAATCAATCATAATCTGCATAAATCACAAATTCATAATGATATATATGTTAGTATTGCACTAACATAAACATATCCCAAAATAATTCCATAACATACTTCAAACTCATTTCCACCAAATAATTCAGTACATATTAATTTCTTTTAACATTGGAACCCACTTTTCCAATTTACTCAAAATGGTCCTTCACCATTTTATCACTTAGATTCTTAATACCAAAAATTCCAGTATTGAAAGTATTATTAACCAAGTACCCATACAAAGGCATAATTACAATAAACACTCCCAACAATTCGAAATTTGTATTACAATCACCAAACTTTCTAAAATTTCCATACTCCGACTACCTTTAAATAATCAGTATTCTGTATTTATATACACTGGAATTTAATTTCGTTTCTTCCTTTGAAAACTAGACTCGAATACGAATCTATCCATATAAAGAAATCCTTCTAATTCATTCTGTACAATTTATGGTGAATTTTCAAAGTTGACCAACAGAATCTGTTTTGTAGAATCTGCTGTCCGATTTTTCTGACCTTTCCTTGGTTAAAAAATCATATCTTTTTGTATACACCTTTAAATTTATCCCCGTTTATTGTAAACAAAACTAGATCAATATATTAACACAATATATAAAAATAACCTCCAAATAATTTTTATATAAATTCTGGTGAATTTTCAAACCCACTGTAAATCTCAAAATCAAAACTGTTTTCTTAAACCTCATCTTAGGTTCTTCATCAAATCTTACAACCAATTCTTTAAAATCACTTAACTCTTCAAAACCCATAAAACACAAGAATCAACATCCCCTTCATCAACTCAAGATGAACTTGAACATGAACCCTAGTAATATTCATGTCAAAACGTAGAGAATTGAACGTAGAATATTTTTTCTAATCACACCAAAATCTAATTCTCAACAAGATTGCTTCAAAATTCAAAACAAAAATACCTACCTTACAAGCTTTGGGGGTGTCGGTCTTGGATGAAGAAGAAGCTGAAGATGCTCCACCATAATTGATATTCTAATGCTATAATAGATCTAACACATGCTTAATAATATATCATAGAATTTTTTATTCAACACCATAGGAAATTCCATTTTTACCCTTAATGAATCTTCCTATTCACCATAAAACCATGCCATCAGATCCTTATCATATTACAAAGTCAAATATGAATTATTTTGACTTTTATTTCCGAAATTCCCCTTGAATTTTTAAAAATTGCGTTTTAGTCACTAAATTCAACTGTTTCAATTAAATCTGAAAAATTGCACAATTCCAAACCAAATTTCTCTGATCTAAAATATTAAAATAATATTTCCAACCATCTTATAGCATCCTTCCAATTTTTGTAAAATTCCAATTCAATCTGAAATACCGATTTCCTTACCGGCTTTAACCCTTTCTAATTTTTCTTTACTAAATTTCCAAATCCTAAAATATAATTTCTATAAAACTCCACACTCAAGAGTAAACCATCTATTTATGGAATAAAATTCTTTTTAGGAAATTATCACTTAATTCCCTAAATGTTTTCCCAATTTTCTACTTTGGCCATCAAACTTTCAAAATTTTCATTTTGGTCATTATCCAAATTTTTGGGGTATTACAAGTAAAAATCCAAGAATAGAGTAAAGAGTACAAGGCACTCCGAGCATCCAGGAAAACACTACAATATCAGTAAGACATCCTATGATGGAATTTTGACTTTGTTAGTGGCATGTAATTATTAATGTCCTAGTTGCTCTATTAAATTATTTTGCAACTGGTTTGTAATGGTTAAACTAAACTGTTTTACTCTATTTCAATATGGATAGCATAAATCCATATTAATATATGTTTTTAAATAGTATGTGATAATATGATATGATATGATATTTTTATAATATCATTTATCGTTTTAATAAAATAAATTTTAAATCACTTTGAATGGGAAAAATATTTTTAGAAATTCAGGTGACATCTATAATTTGTATAGGTATAATTATATGGATTATGAGTGTTACATAGGTAAAGTATACAAATGCTCCCTAATTATAGAAAATTTCTTTTTTGAATTTCCTAATTATTAAAAGTTGTAAAATAATCCCTCAATTATAGGAAATTGGTTTGTTGAGTCCCTCGATTATAAAACATACAAATGGTCATCTAACAATTAATATGTTTCAAACTCATCATGTTTCATTAAAAATTAACATTTGTCTGAGTTGGACGTTGATCTACTTACTAGGATATGATAAAATCATATTTTAATGATGTATATTGTACATTCATTTCTTTTAAATACTTGCTCAACGACGTAATATTTCAAGTAGTGGCTCGATGACATAATGTAAAATGAGAGTCAATCTACAAATACATTTGAAATTGTTCTATGATTAAACTTTATTATATCCCACTCAACAAATTAATGTCTTGGTCATATTGCTGCCAATTTTTTAACAAAAAAGACGAGTTTGTAATGTACGAATAATCAAATGACTATTTTGTAACTTTTAATAGTTGAATGACTTAACAAAACAACGACCTACATTCAAAGAATTATTTTATAATTTGTAATAGTGAAAAGATTCATCAAAAAGCAATACTCTATAATCTGAAAATTATTTATGTACTTTACCCCATTTTTCACCAATATAAAATAGTTGGATTAGTTGCACCAAAAATGACATACGAACTCTTCCATCATAGACGTATCCCATACGTTTATAAGGAGACCTTTCCGTGAAAATTTGTCTATTTGTATTATGTTTTTATATTGTTTCGCATTGTAATCATTATTTTATTTTATATTTTATTATATTTACATTTTTTTCAAAATGCCTTTTTAATGTACAAGTTGTGTAGACTCGGTATTTTTTGTTCGAAAATATTCATATTCGACACATATCCAAATTATATATATACTTACATTTTGAATGAGATCATCTAAAATCAAGAAGGCATCCGAAGGGGTGAATTTGATCTTATGGTGCATTCCAGCTTTGTTAATGAAGGGTGAGCCTGTCTCGTATGCTTCTTTGTCTGTATCAATGGCTATTACCTTGCCATCCTCAGGCAACGCAAGGGCAGTCGCAAGAAGGGAATAGCCTGTAAAAACTCCAATTTCCAGTGTTTTCTTGGCGTTCATTATCTTCAATAGCAGTGATAGAAGTTGTGCTTCATTGACCGGCACATTCATCACGCTCCTGTGTAAACCAAAATCTAACTTCGACTCGAAAAATTTAAATTTTGAATAAGATTATAAACTTACATATCTTTGTACTTGTGGACGGTGGCCTCTCTTAGTTCCTTCAATTGCTCATGCTCTTTGGGAGAGGCACTTGTTTCGTAGATGTACTGCAATACAGTAACAGCATTAAAATTATACTTTTATGAAAATATCGATACGAACAATGGTGAATTCCAAAAATAATTTACGGTGAACACGAATATATTAACCACACAGATTTTTTGTTTAAGAAAAGATAAATAAATTTTATAGTGGGCATAACCAATAAATTCAATAATTAATAAAATATAAATTTTAGGGTATACAGCTTGCATCCACCACTTGATACGAACATTAAAAAAATGAAAAAAAAAAGGGATGTCAGGGGTTAAACAAAATACCTGAAGAAGGGCATCGTTTCTAAGGATTGTCTTCTTGGTCCAATCTGCCATGATATGGAAACTTTAGCCAATATAGCCTTCGACGACTCTTCTTTGTTTATGTGCTGAAATATTGCTCTCACCAAATCAATTGTAAGAGCTTTCATTTTATAGCAAGAGTTGTGGAAAAGTATACTTATCAACTTATGTCCTATTATTTTAATAATGAACGAAAAAAACTTAGAAAAAACAGTATTAAATGCCATAAAACAAAAAGGAATTAGTGATATATAAAATCATTTAAAATAATAATAATAATATTCAATATATCAATTATTATCAAATAATACTGAATAAAAATTAATTATTGCTTTAAATAAATTCAAATTTTAAAAGAAAAAGAGGGATGGGAGGCTGCGTTGCTTTGACGCGACGCGAAGAGCGATTTGCTTAGCCAAAATATTCAAATGAGATCAACGGTGAAAAGCCAGCCGCCTGTTTGATTTTTCGTTTACCATTCAATATCAGCCGTTAGATCATTCCTGGCCCCCTCTTTATATATGTAACGAAATCCCTATGGGCTCTCTCTATTTCGCTGGCGTAAATTTGAAGCGACCGCTCAATCTCATATTAGAAATCAAAAAGATATTTTTTTAGAAAATAAATAATTTAAAAAAGAAATCAGATGGATCCAGACGCAGTGGCGAAGGCGTTCGTCGAGCACTACTACACGACGTTCGATTCGAACCGGGGCGGTCTAGCCAACCTCTACCAGGATGGTTCAATGTTGACCTTCGAGGGTCAAAAGATCCAAGGCGCTCAGAGCATCGTCGCTAAGCTCACCAGCCTTCCTTTCCAGCAGTGTCAGCACAGCATCACCACCGTCGATTGCCAGCCCTCCGGTGCCGGTGGTATGCTTGTTTTCGTCAGCGGTACCCTCCAGCTCGCCGGCGAGCAGCATGCTCTCAAGTTCAGCCAGGTAAATCTCTTATATGCTATCGTATTTTTCTCGGGTTTTAGGTGTTTAAGGGTTTTGATTTGTAGTTAGGTGATCGATTTAGAGCGTAGTTTATATGTCACTGTAAATTTCATTGGTCGTATCGGTTTTATTTGATTTCGCTATGCGATTTGTTAGTGATGTGAAAAGTGAGTTTTACATTTGCTGGAAGTTTGACTCTGGATTGAAATCGAAGTCTTAATAATTCAATTAACTTTGATATTGATGTTTTTGATATTTACTGCTCATTACATTTTCAGGAATTGCATTTTTTATTCAATTTGATTCTACAATAATCAACTGAAGAAGGGAATATAAATGTAAGATAATCGAATTGAACATTGAAAATTTTCACGAATAGATTTTGGAATATGTGAATAACTTTACCAATTAATTGAACTCCGTCTATTCCTGGATATTCCTTTCCTCTTACCTTAGCGTGTTCTTTTTGTAAAGAACTGTATCTTTAATTATGGACCGCGACCTAGAGATTACTTCTATCTCCTGAGTTTCCTTTTTGTTTGTATAATTTTCCGCTTTTCTGTATATGTTTTCTACATGATTAATTCACAAAGTGTGTTCTCGTTTCTTACTCTGAATAATCATCTGGTATCTCTCCCAATGTTGTTTGTTGGGAGTTGTTGTTGGGAGTTGGGACTCTGCAGGATGCAAAAGGAACCCACACTTGCACGTCTCTTCTCCTCTCTGGGAGATGATGATTTCCTTATGGTTAAATGTCTTACTTTCGGACTTGTATAAGTTTCATCGTTTTAATGTTAAATGTTCATTGTTGTGCTGTATGAGACATTTATCTTTTTGTTTAGAAAATTTCTGTTTCTCGTCCACCATTTCCATTAGTTTTGATTGCTTGACATGGTTTTGTTTTATGGATTTCCACTAACCAAGTCTCTTTTTCATGCATTCTGCTTTATAGATGTTTCATCTGATGCCAACACAGCAGGGAAGCTTCTATGTGTTGAATGACATATTCAGGTTGAACTATACGTGAAGACGTGATGTGATCGGTACAAGTAACCGAGGGGGTGGGAATATAATGTCAAAGATCTAAACAATGTTTGCTTAATCTCCCCGTTCAGTTTTAATCATTTCAAATTGGGGGGAAAGAAATAAATTTTTTTGTTTGTTTATGGTAAATGCTTTCATCGTGATTTCCATGTCATCATATTTCAGGGCTTCCTTTGCTGTATGATCGGTGGAGTTAGTGAAAGACACTATTTATGAATTGGATGTTTGATGGAAATACATGTTTGTTGTTCTGTTTTGGTTCTAATTAAAACAAAAATGCATTGCATGTGAAGTTTAATTATAATCAAACAAGGTTTGTTAGCTTGGAACAAAAGCTTTTTAGCTAAAGATTGGCAGATATTAGAAAGAACTTTGTAGAATAATCATACCTAATTTCATTTCTTTTTTAACCAAGATGGATACAAATGGTAATCTTGATCAATATAAGACATATCTTGTTTATAAATGATATATTCAGAAATAATATATTTAAATACTTTTTTCATTGAAAAACACTTTCAATATAATTATGATATTTGTTGCTTGAAATGTATAAATTAAATTTTAAAATTATGTTTATCAATAGTAACATTGACGGGATGTTTGTATGGTGTAATTAGAAAAATATGTCTCATGATATAAAATTAATGATATTTAAATTAAGGAAATGCATTTGTAAGTTTAACTATACTTATATTAATTGTATAATATCTTTTTCTTTCTAGGGATGGGCATGGTACCCGAATCCGACGAGTTCAGACTTGAATCGACCCGATCGGATTGAATTTTTTTTTTTTTTTTAAAATAGGTTCGGGTCTGAATTTATATTAAAATATTCGGGTTCGGGTTGGAGTTAGGTTTAGTGTTAAAATAATCATACCCGACCCGAATAGTTAATGCATTATTATTTTTTTTAAAAATTTTTACTTTTCCTAATTCGGTGTTTTACTGCTTCGGGCTCGGCATGTCATCTCCTTCAAACACTTAAACACTGAGTTGGCTACGAGTTTTACCTCTCGCTTTCTTTCAAACAGTGCAAAGAAACCAAACTCTGAGCCTTGAGCATTCCAATCATGCTAAGGAGAGGCTAATTCCTTTTGTAAATTCTCCATTGAGGGTTCGAGCCACTGACGCAACGACTCGCTTTCTCATTTCTCTACTTCAGGTGTCTTCGTATCTCTCATTCTCTCTTTCTGCGTGTATATGTGTGTGTTGTGTGCTTCCTCCTCCTACTGAGATGGCTCCTGAGGAAGGATTCCTTCGTGATTAAATTTTAGAGGGAATTTGTGATGACAACATGTTATTTTATCAATATTCTACCTTCTTCTATGCTTGGTTGAAGGACTTCTTTTGAGTTTTTATATAACAAACAACCATCTCTTTCACACTTGAGGGTCTTTGGGTGTCTATATTATGCCACTATTCCTAATAATAAAGATAAATTTGTTGTTAGGGCTACTCCTTCCATGTTTATGGGATATTCTCCTACACAAAAGGGATAAATTATTTTCAATCAATAATCTGAGCCTTTGTTTGTCAACATAAATGTTTCCTTTAGGGAAAATGTATTTGTTTTTCATGTTCTTATTCCAAATACAACCAGTTTTTCCCATCTCATCTTCATGTTCCTGAGTCTGGCTTTCTCCTTTTAGTTTTTCTACATGTGACTTCACCTCTTCTTAGTCTTATTTCTCTATTCATTCATTCTCTAATTTTAAAGCCACCTAGTTTTGTTTCTTCTCTAGTTTCAACACTTAGGTGGCGTTTGGTTGGCATAAATCCCTTGGAATTGGGGGGAATTAGAATCCAATTTCACCACTTTCTCATGTTTGGTTCAAGTTTTCATAAGGAATTGGAATCCCTCATGGCTTCAACTTTCCATCAAATGAGGGAAAGTGAATTCCATCCAAGAGTGAATGGAATTCAATTCCCTTGTTGGAGGGAATTGAAATTTGACCATACTACCCTCATCAATCTTTTGCTAACTTATTCATATATTGAATAAAAATATATTTTTATTATTTCGAGTCAGGTCGGGTTTCTAATTCATATATTTGGGTCGGGTCGGGTGAAACTTTATTTTGGTCGGGTCGGTTTTTTTAAGTGTGATATTCGGGTCGGGTCGAGTTTGGGTTTAGGGTGAAAAATACCCGACCCAAAAATATATATAATTTTACTTTATATATTTAGGAATAATTACAATAATACCCCTCTATATATAATTTTTTTTCAATTAAGTTACCATTTTTATTGAATAAATTTTTTTATTATTATTTCGGGTCGGTTGGGTCTGATTTCTAATTCATATATTCGGGTCGGGTCGGTGAAACTTTATTTTGTTCGGGTCGGTCGGGTTTTTTAAGTGTGATATTCGGGTCGAGTCGGGTCGGGTTTTTTTAAGTGTGATATTCGGGTCGGGTAGGGTTCGGGTTTAGGGTGAAAAAAACCGGACCCGACCCGAAAAAAATATATAATTTTACCTTATATATTTAGGAATAATTACAATAATACCCCTCTCTATATAATTTTTTTTCAATTAAGTCAATGTTTTTATTGAATAAAAATAATTTTTTTATTATTTCGTGTCATGTCGGGTCGGGTTTCTAATTCATATATTGAATAAAAATACTTTTTGGTATATTTTTTGGTAACTAATTAACATACTCCGATTGGAATGTATCGAAATATTACTCTATCTTTTGGCAACTTATTAACATATTTTGATTGCGATGATTTTAACTTATGATGTTTATTAGCATGACTTTTATAATTTATTGAAATGAATAATCAATCATTAAATTGAAATTTTAATATTTTTTTAATTTTTTATAATATATTACTACATGTAAGTTGTAAAACAAACTAAAATAAAGCAAAAAAACAAGAAGGGCAATTCTGTCATTTTATATTACTGAAATCAAATTCATCTGACATGTCTGCGAACCAAACAGAATATGGAATTGGATTTCAATTTCATTTCCTGCCAACCAAACAGAATATGGAATTGGATTTCAATTTCTGACAAATTTCAATTCCTTCACAGATTCCAATTCCCTCATAAACATTCCAGCGAACCAAAAGCCACCTTAGTCATATTAGTAATTCACAAGGTCCTGATTCTGTTCTAGAACAGGGGATATTCCTAGTTTGGACAATTTTGTTATTAGTCCTTTGGTTGATTCTAGGTTGGGCAGTCCAGATTGTGTTGCTCCACCTGGTATGATTTCTAGAAAATCATCTCGAGTTCCAAGATCCCCGGTTGGATAAGGGATTTTGAGTGTTCTTATCAATCTTCCTCACCTTCAGTAGTTGAAATTTATTTACTTTTTATAATTAAATCGTTTGATTTATTGACATTTTGTGTGGATTTGATTTGTTCTTTTAGTTTAGCAATCTATCTCAGCTAAGAATGGGTCGGGTTGCAATCTATCTCCGTTTCTAAGCTGAGATTAGTTCTGCATTTACTTTGCATCTCCGTATTTAAGGCCATGATTTTAGATATATCATATGCAGGAAAAATTAATCATATGCAGGAAAAGTTAATCAAACACTACATACGAATTAGCTCGGAGTTGAAGTAGTTTTCATTTAATCTCTATAACATTATATCTCTCTTACTTCTTCAATTGTGCTTTAGGAGTATGATGGGCATTGCAGAAATGTGTTCTAAAAATTGGTATGAAAATTATTGATTACATCTTTACTCTTGCACTAGTTGTGAACATGGATCTGAAAATGTTATGCGAGCTTAATATGTCATTCTCTTGCCAAAGAAACAGTCTAGTATAATATTTACACTTGACTAAAGATGCAAAGTATGCTTGAAATAAATTAGTTTCTGGGGGATAATTGAATTGTGAATATAAGTTATAATTGCATTAGACATGACGATAACAAATCAGCAAGGAATGAGAATGGTTACCATCTTAGATCAGACTAAGTTTAAAATCATGTATAATCAGGTGGGAGGAAACATTAGTTAGGGATTATGACTGATCTTCAACATGTAAAACAAATTAAGTATATGCGTAAATAAATGTTTTAGCTGATTATATGTAAAAATTGGAAACAACTTGCTGAAAACAAGCCATAATAGGTCCCCAATATTTTAGCTGATAGCATTTACCAGCTTCTCCCGTTAGTAGACAAAACACCAAAAAATAATTCCCTATCACGTGAAAGATAAAAAAAAGTAGATGCTATTGTTTAATTACATGCATTCACGTCTGAAATTACCTTGAACCTTCCAACATGTTTGATTGATTGAACGATGAAAGATGTTCCACATTTGAACACTGCATAAACACTTTCATTTCATTTAATATACCGATGTGTTCGAGAAAGTGATGCGTTCATTTGATGTAGCTAGTTTAACTTCATTAACTTAAATTTTGCAGTTATGGAGATATTAATTGATTTAAGTTTAGGAGATATTAATTAATGTCTTTATCATTATTTGTACAGGAAATGTCTAACTCGGAAGAGAATTCCATTTCATCCACATCTCATACTTTTAACTCTCCACAGCTATCAACCGAGGGAAGTCCACCAAGTTCTGAAGGAAATTCAGTTCCTACATTAAGTCAATCTAATGTTGTGGTTGAAAATAATGTGTCAAGCGAATGCACTTCATTAAAGCTAAAGTCTATGGTATGAGAGCATTTTAAAAAAGAGAAGATCAACAATGAGTGGAAGGCAATATGCAACCACTGCCAAAACAAATTCAATGGTTAATCTAAGAATGGGACAAGTTACTTGCATGATCATTTGAAAAGGTGCAAGAAGCGAGTTCAAGTAGACATTCGGCAAAAAGTCTTAGTAGCTAATCAAAAGAAGTCGGATGGAAAATTGATAATAGGACTTTCTCATTTAATCAATATATGGCAAGGAAAGAGATTTCGAAGATGATAATCATGCATGAATATCCTTTATCGATAGTGGATCATTCACAGTTTAAAAAGTATTATTCTAGTCTACAACCTATGTTTGAAATGTCTTATAGCAAGACTATAAAACGTGATATTTTGGACTTGTACGAAAAGGAGAAGAGAAATATGTTGTCAAAGTTGGAAGCTAATGAAGGAAGAATTGCTATAACAATAGACATGTGGACTTTAGATCACCAAAACAAAGGATATATGGTTGTTACTGCTCATTACATTGATAACTCTTGGAGTTTACAAAAGCGCATTATAAGGTATTTGTTTAAATATATTTATATATTTAGATATGTTTCGATATGTTTAAAACTAATTCATTTTATTTGTTGTTTAATTATGTTTGAATATGTACCAGCTCCACATACCACTGATGTCATTGCTTCTAGTTTGATGAAATGTTTTCTAGATTGAAATATTGATAGTAAACTCACATCTATTACAGTTATTAACTGTATTGTAAATGACGGTGTCATTAAGTTGTTGGTTGATAGGATGGGAGGTAATACGTTGTTTCTTAACGAAACTTTTTTCCACATGCGTTGTTGTACACATATATTGCATTTGATTGTTAAAGATGGATTAAATGTGATTGGAGATGGTATAGGAAGAATCCATCATAATGTTCTTTTTTGGATTACTACTCCAAAAAGGTGGGAAAAGATTTGAAGAGGCGTTACGACAATTGTGTATTTCAACTACAAAAAAAGCTAAGTTCTGATGTTATAACACGATGGAATTCTATATTCTTGATGCTCCAAACAACTTTATCTTATAAGGATGTTTTTTCTCATTGTGTGCAGTTACATCGTGATCCTTTGTATAAGTACTTGCCAACTGATGATGATTGGTCTTTTGCATTGGTGATTTGTGATAAGCTGAAGTTATTCTACGAGATCACCGAAGGTTTTTCAGGTACAAAATTTACGACATCAAATCTTTATTTTCCAAGTATTTGTAGGATTAGGGCGGCTTTGGAGTATTACTTTGAAAATATTTATGGGGTTACTACTGAAAATGAAGTTGAAAGAATTATGCAATTATGTCGGGATTTGGTCACAGAGTATGAAGAAAGAATAATGTCCTCAAAGAATGAACCTCAGCGCTTCAATGATGCATCTTTGGATAGTGTTCTAGTTGATTTGGGTAACCCCAGTGATTTTGATGCTTATGTTTCAAGGAAGAGAAAAAAGAAAACAAAATTCATATATGAGTTAAACCGTTACTTAGAAGTAGATGTTATTTCTAGGACATCAGACTTTGATATATTGACTTGGTGGAAAAAAATTGGTCCTCAATTTCCTATATTGCAAGCTATTGCAAGAGATATTTATGCCATTCCGGTTTTTATTGTTGCTTTGGAGTATACTTTTAGTACTGGAGGGAGATTGGTGAATGCATAACGTAATAGACTTCATCCATCAACTGTAGAAGCTTTGGCATGTTGTCAAAATTGGTTATGGGTCGAAGAAGGTACAAACGTATTTATCGTGTACTTCAAATTATTTTACTTATATGTTTTGTCATTATTTCTTATTAGATTTTATTTTCATTTACGATGTTTTAGAATCAAACTCAAATGAAGACAACTTTTATAAAGATGATGCAATCGAACAATATGAGATAATTGGAAGTAATAATTTCATATTTGTTACTTTACTCCTATTATAATATTTTTTTTAAATATTAATTTATAATTTTATTTTATAGAATTTGAGTAGTTAGCTAAGATTGAGGAATGTGAACTTGTGAAGCCGATGATAATGGATGAATTTTTTCCATCGAACATACGTATTTATGTCTCGTTTTATTATAATTATGTTTGAACTTTGAAATTATTTAAGTATAGTATGAATTTATAATTTTAATTGTGAACATATATTTTAATTATGGATTGGAGTCTGGAGATGTAAGTTGCATGTTGTTTTTTTTAGTGGATTGTTTCCTGAATTGAATTCTTGTTTGGTTGTATAGGTAGTTTGGTTTTCTTTCATTGTTGTGTTTTGCAGCTGATATTTGTAATCTACAGTGCTTGTAGTGTGATTTGTCTTTAAAAAAATTGAAGTTTGTTAAAAAAAATTGAAGTTTGTAGTGCTGGTAGTGTGATTTGTAGTGCTTGTTTTCTTTGTTCATGTTTGGCTGAACGATCATGGGCTGTTAACCATGGGCTATTCATAGTTTCAGTCATGAACAAAATGTTTAGTCCTAAGTCCACTATAGGAATATGCATGGCAAATAGGTTAAAGTAAATCGGGTCGAGTCGGGGTTTTATTAAATAAAAAATTAAATCGGGTCGAGTCAGGTTTTAAAGTTATATATCGGGTCGGATTAAATGTTGTTTTGGTCGGGTCAAGTCTGGGGTGGAGGACTCCTTGTTCTCGGGTCGGGTGGCAAATAGGTTAAAGTAAATCGGGTCGGGTCGGGTGAAATTTTATTTTGGTCGGGTCAGGTCGAGTCTCAGGTGGAGGACTCCTTGTTCTCGGGTCGGGTCGGGTGGACCGAAAACCCGACCCATGCCCATCCCTAATTGTATCTCGTTTAAGATGAGTTTGGTTAATAATAGTATATACTACAAGTTCAGTGGTAGCAGTGGCAGATCCAAAAATATTTTTCAGGGTAGGTACACATATGTTAACAACATAAAAATTTTAAATGGAAAGGGTACAAATAAAATTTCAGGGTAGGTATCGTCTATAAAATAAGTAACTAATCAAAGAAAATTCAAATTTTAGGGTGGGCACGAAAAATTTTAGGGTAGACACCATCAGTAAAAAAGTAACTAATCTAAGAAAATTCAGATTTTAGGGTGGGCACGTGCCCACCCTGACCAAGTCGTGGATTCGCCACTGAGTGGTAGTAAACTAAGTAATACCCCTTATTGCTAAAGGAAACAAATTTAATTTTGACCAGTGCCCGAAGAATGATTTTGAAACTAAGGAAATACAAAAAAAAGTTCTTTTTGCTTCAAAAATAAAGGAGTTTAATGTATACTCAGATTTGTACATATTAATTCATAACTAATGATTTTAGGATATTTAGCAGATATTTAAACAATTTAGATATGAATCATTGGATAACAACTAAATTGATTCATATGATACACTTAAAAACAAAAATATTACATGCTTATATATTAAAAGTCTAATACGTAAGAGATCATTAGGTTTACGGATTCTAACTTATTTGAATATAGATGCAAAAATATGTCGAATGAACTGTTAACTATAGATTGAATAGAAAGATCACTAATATTATTTCGTGACAATAAATTTGCATTCTTTTGTTCTTTTTACAACAACACTTTACAGTCAAGTACATAGACCTTAAGTTTCTGATTATTAAAGTAAATTCAATGTAATTATGTGTTTATAAAGCCTATTGATACAAATTCATTATTGCGTACTTATTAAAGAACTATCACCTTAGATCTTTCATGAGCACACTAATCATGTGGGTGTAATATCATTTAAGGATATTAAGTTTTAATGAGAGTTTATAATTTTTAACGTAGACACAATTTCAGTTACTTTAGTCTAAGGATATTTATGTTAAAGTTATATTTCTACAGAAGTGAAATTTGTTTTGGTTTATTCACACTGATTTTGGTAAAATTTTATTTTGTTAAGGTTTTAGGAGGACTAGTTGAAAATAGACACGTACGGTTCACATTAGACGTAATTTTCATGTTATGCTCTATGATTGATCTATGTCATTTGATTGTGTTTCTATATGTGGCTATTAATAGGTTTAGTCATGATGGATATGTCAAAATTTGCTTCAATCCTATATGTATATATTTGATGAACGAGATTGTTATAGAATACTTATTGCATAAAAATAAATTTTGAGCTCATTAGATTATAGATTTGTCAAGAAACATATGTTGCTCAAGTGGGAGATTATTGGATTAAAATCTATATTTATAGACACATATTATAATGTATATTGTTATCATAAAATATTACATAAAATTAAGTGAACAATCATGATTATAATTCATAAGATATTTGAAGTATCATAAAAATAAAAGTGTAGATACTATTAAAATTATATTTATAACTTAATGAGATACATAGTTATAAATACAAAAGTAATTGATTTTAAATCAGCTATAAAAATGTTATAATTCCCAAAAAAAAATAGATAATCTCATATTTCCTATTATCACGTAAGAGAATTTATATTTAAAAAAATTCTATATTCTTCGAAGACCACAACTAAAAAAACTCTAAGATTTAACCTATCAATTAATTTAAATACGTTTTCGTATATAATATTTTATTCTTAATAATTAAATCATGATTAATTTTCATATTTATTTCGATTTAATTTTAATATAAGATACCAAAAATATAAATCACATCACAACCAGAGACGGAGCTATGCTTCATTCAGGGGCCATCCGACCCACGCCATACACAAACATACAGAATAAATACCTAATTAAATCGGAGGCGAAGCTCTTTCCAAAAAAGAAAAAAAAATCGGAAGCAAAGCATGGGGATGGAATGCTTGATTTTTTGGTTCATATATTTTTCAAATGGATCTCCTAAAAATAAATATATCATATTATTTAATAGTTATTTTGTCCAAAAAAATAGTGAGAATTGTAAACATTGAATGCAATTTGATCCTCTGTTAATCAATTTTTTAATATCATATTTTCTAAAAACTTTTTATATAATGCAATTGATATAATTAGAGAATTACTTTTAGTTTTCATATTCAGAAATAAATTTTATATCTTGTATTACCATAATAATCTTAAAATATAAATAAAATTGTTGACAATCGCTTTTGTCCGCTTTTTTAATTAAATGTATTAATATTATAGGTATTTATATTTATTATGTTATTCCTTTTTTAGATCACAAGCCCAATTACAATAGAGCCCAATACAACATCAAACCCTAAGCCCATAAACCCAAATGAAGCCCTAGGTATCCTAACCCTAGACCTAGTAATTGTCGCCGTCGCCGCCCGAGCCATCATTTTCACCGGCCACCTCAGCAAATCAAATCAATCAAAAACAAATTTATTATAATTATAACAAATCCACCAAACCCAATGAAGCGGGGAATCGGGAAAGAGGAAGAAGAAACGGGGAGACAGTTCGAACAAAAGAGAAGTGAGCATTGGAACGGGAAAAAAGGGTCATTCGAACAGAAAACCAACAGAGAAAGAATCCAACAACTATAAAAAATATAAAAAAAAAGAGAAGCTTACCGTCGGATCTTCGATGACTGTAACTCTAGTGATCGGACAGTAGATCCGGACTGTTCGTAGATGCGCACGGGTTAAGGGACCAACATACTTCAAAATAGAGTCGATCCAACTGTCGGATGAGGAGATCGGAGGGTGGGAAAACCGAACGGTTTTTGACCGCTTCGTGAAACTTGGGGTGTTTCTCGACGAAACCAAGGCCGGATCTGTGCTCTTGGCGTCGAGACGAACCTTCCCTTGGAGTTTGACATTGAACGGACACCGATGACTAACAGTGGTTCCCCTTTCCTGGCGAGTTAGAACGGGAAAAAGGGTCATTCGAACAGAAAACCAACAGAGAAAGAATCCAACAACTATAAAAAAATATAAAAAAAAAAGAGAAGAGGAGAGAACAAAAGAGAAGCTTACCGTCGGATCTTCGACGACTGCATCTCTAGTGATGGGACAGTAGATCCGGACTGTTCGTAGATGCGCACGGGTTAAGGGACCAACATACTTCAAAATAGAGTCGATCCAACTGTCGGATGAGGAGATCGGAGGGTGGGAAAACCGAACGGTGTTCGACCGCTTCGTGAAGCTTGGGGTGTATCTCGACGAAACCAAGGCCGGATCTGTGCTCTTGGCGTCGAGACGAACCTTCCCTTGGAGTTTGACATTGAACGGACACCGATGACAAACAGTGGTTCCCCTTTCCTGGCGAGGAGGCGGCAGAGTGCTCTCCCCTACTCCTCTCTCTCGTGTTAATCTCTGGTAAAAGAAAAACGAGTCCCTCTTTAATTTGTTTTGGGTTTTAGCCATGAAGTGTGTTTCTTAATATATTGGATATATTATGCGTGTAACCATTCTATTTTTTAATGAAGCTTGATTTGGCCCCTTTTTTTCTTGAATTATAGCGTTTAGGTACCTTATTTATATTTTTTGTATATATATGTCCATGTATGAATAGATTACGGTTACGTATATATGTCCAAATAAATATACAGAAGGTGTCCGCATTTAGTTTCAGTTAATGCCAAATGCTTATTTCGTTTTAGCTTAATATCTAACGTTTTATTTTGTAATTTAAATTAGGTTAAACCGTGTCGGGTTATTAATTTTGAGTTAATCCATTAAAATATCACATAACATTCTTTTTAATATTAAAAAATAAATAAATTAATGTAAAGAACAAAATAACCTCCTTCCTTGTAAACTACCATTTCTACACCTCCACCACTGTCACTAGCGGCGCCCCCCACCGCCCAAACACACAAAATGTCGTCAACAGAGTCCCTCATCCTCCAACTCAATGAAATCTCCGCCGTCAAATTCGATAACTTCAAGCTGAAATCCGGCATCTTTTCCCCTATCTACATAGACCACCGCCTCATCGTTTCTTACCCTTCCTTTCTCCGCCAAATCTCCCATTCCATCCTCTCCTCTCTCCATTCCCAAACTCCCTTCAACCTCATCTACGGCGTCCCTTACACTACCCTCCCCATAGCCACCTCTATCTTTCTCGACTCCTCCGTCCCCATGCTCATGCGCCGCAAAGAAGTCAAAGATTACGGCACTGCATAGTCCATCGAAGGCGTTTACGAGAAGTGCGTCGTGTCGTTGTTTCGCCTTCTTTCAATCGTCGTAGATTTTCTCGGCCGCCCTTTGCTCCGTCTTGAATGGCTTGTCGGGTTGAGGAAAAAGAAATGATAACTTTTTTTTAATTGTGAAAACAAATCCAAATTTCTATTGTCTCTCTAACAAATTAGGAAATGTGTAAGACCTGTGTTGTTGGGCGGTGAAGGACCAAACAATGGGAGCAGTAAAAGAACCTTGAGGATGCTACATTATGGGGAAACTTGAGGAAGACCTAGGGTTGAGTTCAAGTGTTAACAGTGAGGTACCGGCGGAATCTGCCGCCGCTTCGATTTCCAGCTTCAGCTCCAGATTTGCTGCCTGTGGATCCACACGATCCTTGTTTGGCCTTCGGTGCTTACTCGTCACACAGTTCAGGGACTTTACTGGTGAAGAGATGGAAAGAGAAAGGGGAAGAGGGAAAGTAAGCGAAAGAGAGGGAAATAAATAAATTTTTATTTTAATTAATTTATTAGATAATATTTACGAAATAAAACGTTAGACATTAAATTAGAACGAAATAAACATTAGACATAAATAGAACTAAAGGTATACGGTAGATACATTTTGTATATTTAAACATATATATTTATGTGTATGGTTTTTTTACTATTATTATTAATCCATGTGTATTTTATGTATATGTTTATTTTTTAACCCTTATATATTTATATATTACCTTGTTTATTTTTATTTATTTATTTAAATTCTCACATACATATATATATATATATATATATATATATATATATATATATATATAATAAATGCTTTGTATTATTTATACATAAAATATTTGATGTATTATTGATTTACTAATACTAAATACTTTGACCATGTCTTTACCTTTATTTGGTTTAATCCCGTATGTCAACTAAACTCCTTTTATTTAGCCTATGCAATTTATTGTATATCATATTTCATATTTTTGTTTATATTATGTATTTATATCAATAAGGGCCGTGCATTATATTTGCTTGTTGTTATGGTATATGTATTTGTACATTACATTTATGTTTTCAATATTTTGATTAGATATTATGTAACATCCTCAATATCAGGTTAGTGATTAAAGTGTAAGATTTTAAAATTCAATGACCAGATTAAATAAATTGAAAAATTCAGGAATTAATTGAAAGATGTTGGTGTAGGATGAATTAATAAATGAAGGAAGAATAAAAGGGTAAAAGGGTCATTGAACATGGGGTAATAATTAAATAATAATTAATGGGTATTATAATACCCATGTGAATCATAATTGGGGAAACATAGTTTCCAGACAATTCATTTTCTTTTCTTCTTCATCTTCTTCTTCTCTCAAACGTGAAGCACTCAAGCCCAAGGTGAGTTTGATTTCTTTTGGTTAATCTTTAAAATTGAAGTATGATTTTGGTTAATGAAGACTTAAGAAACATGATGGAGAATAGAAACTCATAGATTTGTAAGTTATGAAGGATTAAAGATAAGAAGTGGATAAGTGAAATTTTGAATAAAGATGTATAAATGGATTTAAAAGCTGAAATTGACTTGCCATAGGTGTGAATAAGAAGTTATAATTGTTAAATCAAACTTTGGATAACATGAAAAATTGGGTATGATTCTTAACTTTAAGAATTTGGATGAAATATGGGAGATTATAAAGTGTTGAAATGAAAAAAGTTAGTTAAAATGGTTGTAGTTGAGTTTAGTGGTATGAAATGAGCTTTGTATGAGGAAATTCAGTGAAGAGTTGATGAATTTTCGAGTGAAAAGCATGTTTTGAGCAAAGTGTATCGGTACCCTATGTATGTGTACCAATACCTCTTGAAAGAAAATAACAAAATGCAGTAAGGGTACCGATACCTCAAAGGGTGTATCGACACCCCCTACAGGAAAAATTGAATATTGATTCATTAATTAGTTTAAGTTATTGGAATCGAGTTATAAGGTTTAGGCTTTTGATAATCGTTTCGAAAATTATGTTTATATAGATATTAAGCTTAAACGAGTTCCGGAACAAGTGACAAGTAATATCGATCGAGGAAAAGGCAAAGAGATATAGGTGAGTGCATATGCATAGTATGATTATAGAAATATATCCAGCTCTAGACTTGTGATAAGTCTAGATTTAATACTTTGATACATGATTCATTTCATATTATGAAACACGATATGAGTTTATACCATATGCATTATGTGACATGAATATGCAGGAAAAGTTATATGAGCTATGTGATAAAGGTATGTAAATTATATGTCTACGTGATATAAAATATGTGAATTGTGAAAGCCCATGTTATGTCGATGAGAACTATAAGTATAGTTGGCATGCCAAGAGTAGAGGGTCTACGAGGTCTTTCGGGACAAATTCTACGTGGTCATTTGGGACATATATGTATTCTTTAGAACATGTATGAGGTCTTTTGAGACACTTACTTGATCCTTGATATATGTATATGATTCTTAAGGAGTTTCTATGTGGTCCTTAGGGACATATTATATGGCACTACTATGAAATTCTACGTGGCACTTCGGTGCATTTCTACGCGGTCCTTCGGGAAAAATTCTACGTAGTACTTCGGTGTAAATTTATACGAGCTGTGGTGACAGCATAGTGCACAACCTCACAGTACTCACATACCTTAGGTTCTCAGTATTGTATCATGGGCAAATGAACTTATTAATATGAATTCATGATGGTTAATTTGATGAGATTATTGGTAAGATACATTGTTATGCAACTTACATGGATTTCATAGATGATTTCATTACATTTCATCTTATTATGGCATCATCATTATATTTCATTGTTATTATTATTATGCCTTACTAAGTTGATGACTTAGCGTGTGAGTGTTTCACACGTAGGATCAGAGAAGATAGACAAGCAAGGTTAAACAGTTGGGACAAAATTACTTCTAAAACTATCAGATAAGAAGAAACTTAAATAGTATGTATTATTATGTGATAAATAGCTTGGCATGTAAACAAATTCATTAAGTTATATGTGCTCTGATCGAGTTTTAGAATGTTTTAAGTTGTAAATGTATAGCGATGAAAGGTTAAATTTTAAGAGTTTATGTATGTTTTACGGAAGTACCGTAGGAGAGTATCGGTACAATGTACCAGGGTATCGATACCCCTATAGCAATATGGAAAAATTTTAGCATTCGGTACTGTTCATGGTACTGTTCATTACTGTTCACTGTATTGTTCATACCGTATAGTACTATTCATAAACGTATATTTCCTTAAATTGGTTATAACGAATATAATTCAACGATACATTATCATATTTTCTTAATATAAGTTCAAATGATCTGTATTTTGTTAAGAATATTGTTTTAAAAAGTCAATGTGACATCTCGGACTTATATCCGGGTCAGGTACGGGTTGGGGCGTTATATTTAATGGTATCAGAACTACGGTTTAGTCGATTCTCGGCATAAACCGAAGTCTAGAGTGTCTTATAATGTATACATGCCAACAAAATAGTGAAAACTTCTGATCTGGTATAGTAATGAGTATGTTATTTTGCTAATAGAACGATATGTTTATTCTTATTAGATGTCTGAACATGATAGTTCTCGAAGTGAAGCGAGAAATGACCGGCCCGCTGAGAGTACTAATTCACCTGCCCTGGCCAGGCAAAGTGAAGAACATACACCTTCTGGAGTGCCTGTAGCTGATCAAGATGTGTTCTTTAGAACGTTAGATGCGGTATTGACGCGTTTGCAACCTCATGCTCCATAAACTCCTAGAGTAAATGTAGCAAAGGAGTTGAGAGGATTATGAGCTCTCGAATTTAAGGGAGAAGCCGAGGAAGGTCCGGTTGCGGCTAATCTTTGGTTAAATGATTTGAAAATCATGTTGGATGGTCTCCACTGTTCTGATGTAGAGAAGTTGGATGGAGTTGTGTCTTTACTTAGAGGACAAGCTAGAATATGGTGGATGAATATCATTATGAGGATGCCAAGTGATCAAGTAACTTGGTCTCTGTTCTTGGAAGAGTTTAAGCACAAGTACATTGGAGACCAGTTTATCCGGCAAATGAAGCAGGAGTTTGTGAATTTGAAACAGATGAATCGCTTCGTATATGAATACGAATGTGAATTTAATAAGCTGAGTCGGTTTGCTTCGGAGCTTGTGATTACTGAAAAAGATATTTGTGAATGGTTTATGGAGGGCTTGAGCCCTAGATTGAAAGA